GTGATTACCTCGGTGGTTTCTCTATTGCCGGGCATTTTAATCTTATTGAAACTAGTCGTTGATGTCACATTTAACTTATTTTCCATAATAAAACTACGTCTTTTAAGCCACCATGATACACTGGCACTTTCGCACGATCTCGATTATCGCACGAAAATCGTTTACCATATAAGGCATTGCTTACTACGAAACTATGTGTTATATACACAACACAGTTTATATGGAAATACAATCACTGGTTTATAAGTATAGCACGATTATTGTCAACCACTATCAATTAACAATTAATTAAGATTTAATTACCCTTTCATCAATTTAACTATTATCTTGTATTATAACAGCATTTGTCTATGGCTTCGTTTTTGTTTTACTATAAATATCAATCACCAAAACTACCTGAAGCGGTGGAAGCGGACGTAAAATACAACTAACACTAACTAACTACCTGAATTGTCTGCGATATCACCTCGGTGGAAGCGGACGTAAAATACAACTAACCCATCATCACTACCTGAAGTTGAAATACGCCGCAAGAGACACCATCCGGAAGGCACAAAGCGAACACTGGATGACATTCTGTAATGCGTTGAATCAAAACACGCAAACAGGTGCCGTCTGGAAGAAGCTGAACGCCATGAACGGGAAGCGCAGATCATTCAACATACCAAACCTAAAGAATGGAGATGAGTACGTTACCAACGGCAATGAAAAGGCAGATCTACTTGCAAAAGCTTTCGCTGACGCAAGCAGGGACGAAAACCAATCACCAGAGTTCCTGAAGAGAAAGGAAATCTTTTACTCACAGCACCCTTCATTAGAAATTGAACCTAATGAAGGGGCTAAACCAATCAATCTACCCTTCTCTGAGGAGGAGTTAAATAATGCTCTTTCCCTCAAGAAGGATGGTGCGGCTGGTGAGGACAAAGTAAAGTACTCGATGCTCAAACATCTGCCTAGAAATGCCAAAAGGATACTACTAAACTTCTTCAACACATCCTGGCTGGCAGGAGAGGTACCCAAAGAATGGCGGAAAGCCAACGTCATCCCTCTTCCAAAACCAGGTAAAGAGAGAACAAAGGCAGAGTCCTATCGACCAGTAAGCTTGACATCCACACTGTGCAAAACCTTGGAAACAATGGTTAACATACGACTACAGTTCTATCTGGAGAGCAACCGACTGATCGACGAAAATCAAAGCGGGTTCAGGAAAGGGCGTTCAACAACGGACCACTTGGTGAGACTACAGCAAGTCATGTCGCAGACACTCCTCTCTGGGAACCTGTTATGTGTCGTGTTCGTAGATTTAACTAAGGCTTTCGATTTAGTCTGGCTAGACGGGCTGCTCTTCAAGTTAGGACGTATTGGTATAACGGGCATAATGTTTCGGTGGATCAAAAGCTTTCTGAGCGATAGAAGGATACAGGTGAATGTAGGCAGATTCCTGAGTGCCGAACAAACATTAGAAAATGGCACGCCTCAGGGGTCGGTTATCAGTCCCACTCTCTTCAATATCATGATCAACGACATACAGAAATCTTCCTACCTCGACGCCAAAACTGAGTTAGCTAAATTTGCTGATGACAGTACCATATGGAGGAAAGGGAGGAACTTCTGTGAACTACAAAAGAACATGCAGAAGGCCTTAGACAAATTCATGGCATGGGCAAACGATTGGGGATTCAAAGTCTCGGAGAAGAAAACAGTCGGCATGCTTGTAAGCAGGGATAGAGGGATAAACAGAATGACTCTGTGTATGAACGGGAAAACCATCGAGTTTAAAGACCAAACCAAGTTCCTTGGCGTAATCTTTGACCGAAGGCTGACCTGGAAACCGCACATCGACGAGACTGTAGATAGATGCACCAAAATCCTAAACTTAATGAGGAAAATAACGGGCAGCACACGGGGTGCCAATAGAGTTACATTAATGATGGTGTATCGTGCTCTAATACGCTCTGTATTAGACTACGGCTCTTTGGCCTTCATGAACTGTGCGCCAAAACTCTTAAGTAAGCTTGACACCATCCGATACAAAGCTCTGTGTATTGCGACCGGCGTAGGGCTTGGGACTAGGAGAGAGGCATTACTACAGGAAGCCGGGGAGTTGCCCCTATCCCTAAGAAGAAAAGAACTAGCGACAAGGTATTGGGCCAAGATCTCGCAACTGGGCGAAAGATCGCCTACTTTTGTCAGTCTACAAAAGACAAGATATGTAAGAGATCCTAGAAAGAAAAGCTTCGGCCAGGGTATCTGGGAAACAATCAAGGAACTGCAACTGGGGGAGCTCGTGATAAATGAACACGACCCCCCAGCGATCGCCCCTTGGACGCTCCCTATACCGCCGGTTAATCTACTACAGAAAATTGACAAGAAAACAACCCCACTGCTGCACGTGCTTTCTCTCTAGAACACCTGGAAGACAACTGGCCGTCTGATGACTGGGACCATGTGTACACGGATGGCTCACGCAATCCTGAAAGGGGCACCAGCTCGTTTGGAATATACCTGCCAAACGGGAAACAGGGAATAAGCAGGAAACTGCCCAATAACTGTTCGGTGTACACTGCAGAGGTTGTGGCCATTCGTGACGCTATATCATGGATTTCCCATCAAAAGACTAATAAGTTCGTCATTCCAAGCGACTCTCTGAGCAGTCTGATTTCAATCCAAAATGACAACTCGGACTCAAGACCAGAAGTCATTTTGGAAATCAGGCAGCTGTACCAGAGGGTTATAGAGAAGGGAAGCAAAGTAGAACTCGTGTGGATTCCATCACATGTCAACATTAGAGGAAACGAGGAGGCAAATCGACTCGCCAATGAAGGTCTCAAGGACACAGCACCACTCCGCACCATTGACTACAGCACCACGGAAATCTACAGTATGGTCAAAAGACAGGTCAATTCAATCTGGGAATTAAATCTCGTTGAACTTGACACATACAGATTCCGGCTGGATGACAAGATCTACACAAAGACAACACTCAATCACCCTAGAAGAGATATTTGTAGATTTATATCGAAGCTAAGGGTGAAAGAGCGGCTGCGAGACTACAAACACCAAGTCATCATCTGTGAGTGCGGAGAAGAATGTACTACCAACCATGTCCTGGTAGACTGCGAGGTATACGAGGAGGAGAGAAGGGAACTAGTGAGAACAATGGAGACCAACAACATACCATTCAACACTAAGAACCTACTCTTCCCGAGACCAGATCTGAAACTGCAAATCTTCGAACAAATCCACGCCCTAATGGACACAGTTGGACTAAGTAGAATAGTGAAGTAAAAGGGGGTCACGGTTAGACGGGCCCGGCATCTAAACACTAAACTACATAGGGGATTTATACCAAACTGGCAGGATAGTGGAGTAAGGGGGAGTCACGATCAGACGGCCTCGGCATCTAAACACTATTCCACCAAAAACAGACACCAAACCTACAGAATGGGATAGTTTAGTAAGGGGAGGTCATGATAAGACGGGCCTGGCACCTAAACACAAACCCCACAAAGATGACATCTACCAAACTAGCAGGATAGTGGAGTAAGGGGGAGTTACGGTCAGACGAACTCGGCACCTAAACACTATTCCGCAAATAAAACTGATACCAAACCCAGAGAGTGGGATAGTGGAGTAAGGGGAGGTCACGATAAGACGGGCCTCCACCTAAACACTAAAACGATGACATCTACCAATCCAGAAGCAGACGTAATCATCTACCAAACGATATGTTTTATATTAAATAAAGGGAAGAACTTCCCACTAAACCAAATCCATGGCCTAAGGCCAAATGGAAAGATTGCAAAATCATATTCTAAAAAACAGGAATCAGCTTCGGCTCTCCTATGTCTTGTCTGCGATATCACTTATGTGGAAGCAGACGTTAAACACCAAGAACGAACGAACGATTAAAACAAAACTTTATTATTGGTCTGAGTGGTCTTTTTGTTTGGTCCGATTAGTCTTTTTGTATGGTCCGAGTAGTCTTTTGTTTGGTCCGAGTGGTTTATCAATTGGTCCGAGTGGTCTTGGTCCAAGTGGTCTTTGGTCCGAGTGGTCATGCATTCGTTCCGATGCACCTGAACTTAATATTTCGTATATTGTAACTTGTCCTCAAGGGAGGTTCCGATGCAATACTGTGTGTCTTGTGTTATAATTGTCATATGTTATAATTTTATGTACATGTTTATATTGTATGCTGTCCTAAATGGATGTTTCGATGCAATAAAGTCTTATCTTATCTTATCTGTGGCAAATAGCCCCAGCCTTCGTAACCCCCCACCTGCAATTCAGACTCCTGTGCTTTAAATTAATACAAGATGCTTTTGGTGCTTTTGATAGGCCTTCATAATACATATATTATATAACATCAGGTGCATACAACTGATTTTTTTTCTAGTTCATTTCAATAAGTTATTTAGGTACATTTATGTACATACATTTCAAGTGCTTTTTATTTATAGTTATAGTGCTACATGTACTTCTATTGCCGTTTATTTGTCCCCGGTTGTACGTGACAAGGAGTAGGGTCGCCTGTCCAACCTCGTGGGTTTTCTCCGGGTCCTTCGGTTTCCTCCCACTCGGCCACTGCTAAAGACCCCTACGCGCAAGCGAATTATTGAAATAAAATTAAACCATATGTTAGTCCCGAAATGACCTAGATTGTGTCGAGTGGACGTTAAACCCCATTTCCCTCTCTCTCCCGTTTATTTGTCCGGCCTCTTCTCCTCCTCTTGGTCGCCCCTGATGCCTGATCACTTTGTCCCGCCTTATGATCTAGTTTCAGTTTGCTGGTTCTCCAACTCAGCCAACTGCTTTTGATTGTTCCATTTTCTCTTTCCTTAGGGCTTCTCTCTAAAGGGGTCAGGTATCTGTATGTGTATCGAAACGTAGCATGTTAATAAATTCAGAAGTAGTATATCCATATCTAAGTGTTTTTAATTTATTATTATCTGACGGCAAGTCTGAATAGTCAAAAGGGACGCTACTCTATTTATGAAATTCGGCATCCACCAGGCGACACCACTGAACAGCGCAAGCTCATTCCTCTTGACTGATCAAACAGCATGGCTCAGATTATTGTATTGAGTGGGTATTATCACAATAAATAAACATTCCAAGCAAATAACATCAAATCAATTGGTGTCTAATTGTATTTATTATTTTTTTGCAGACCAGAACACGAAAAGAGAGTCAGGACGAAAAGTCCAACTCGGAAATATCGGAGCAGGAAAGGTAGGTCGCGTGTTTCTTATGGTAGTCGCCATTATGCCTTCTCCATTCACTCTTGCTATTTTCTTCGAGAATGTTCGTAGAATATTTTTTATTAACCAATTAACTTACTGGTAGTCTAATTCTCTTCATATTTTATAATGAAACAGTATTTTCAAATACCTCTATTTTAATTGAATTGTCTATCTGCCTTTTGTATTTTTGTAAGAAAGAAACATGCCTAGTCTGGCTGAAGCAATGAGTGAAACAGTAAACACCAGAGTCAGACTCAAGTGTATTCAAAATGTCAAATTTGTTTGATTTTGTCATTTGACTTGTCTTGAGACAATCACATTTAGCAATTTTTGTTTATGTCGTTATCTACCATTGCCAATATCACTTTTATGACTTTATAGGTAGGAGTGTTAGTGGGTATCGCTTCATTTGGGACTCGCGTCATTTGGTACTCAACATAAATGACATTTGGGGCTCAGTTGATGACGTTTGGGACTTGATTGGCGTCAATTGGGACTCAACACATTTGGGACTCAACATTATAAACGACAGTTGGGACTATTTGTTTATGAGATATATAGTAACAGCTGTCTAAGTTCAATAGTTGTCTTTCGTTTTATTTAGTTGATCGGCGATTGTTGAGACCGCGATTAACACTGCTAGTTCTCCTTTGTTTTGTTTTATCTGCGAGTATAAAACTTGAAATAATATATTGTTGAAAATTTGTGTATATTTAGTAATACTTCGTTGTTTTTGTTTTATCAAATAGTAAACGAGCTTGATTGACCGACCACTGCTAATGTTTTTTCGTAAAACGGTATAACTGCCAACACACAGCCACCATTCTCGCTGATTGACAACTCACGTTTTTCCTCATCCACCAAAGAACCGTTAGGTTTCTTTGAACATACTGCAATAACATCGGGATTATCAGTTAATCAGCTTTAATTATCCCGCTTTGATCGTTGCCATTTCTTATATTTTCCACAAAAAACTTTGCCTTGTACGCACTAATTTATCGATTGGTATTGCCATCTACGACAAGCATGTCAACGTGCAGCTCACGGATTATCTAGGGGCTTGTAAAAAAGATTGCATGTCGTGTAAATATTTATTTTGTTTTTTGTGTAGGTCATTTTCAAATAAATTCATCAGCATATTATTCGCTTTAAATAAATATATAACTTTTATGAGAATCGATGATTATCACAGAACCGTAAGTACAACTAATGTTTTATCGTTTGGTTGAGCCTTTTACTAACCACGTGTTTCATGTTAATAAATATTTTCTTTCGTGTTTTGAATTGGCCTATTTCTAATAAATTATCCCGAGTCCCAAACGTCGTATACCTGAGTCCCAAGCGACGTAGACCAAAGTCCCAAACGTATACCCGAGTCCCAAATGTCGTGGTCATATTTTTTTGAGTTCCAAATGACGCGAGTCCCAACTGACATGTAATCTGTTAGTGTACCAAATCTGCAGGCACTACTAGCAAGGCTCTACAATGCGACTGAAACACAATGGCGACCAGATATTTATAAATGCTAGGTTTCTGGCGAGTGAACATATATCTTGAAGTCCCCAATTAACACTATAGCTATCTGAACTTTTCTCCGTAAAGATAACGTAATCGGCAATGATCCCAGTCAAATGTCACTCTTGTTACTTTCCTGGTTTGAAATTGGGTCAATCTCATTGTCCTCTGCGAGGAAATTCTCATTGCGCATGCGCTGTATTTATCGGAAGTTTGCGAGACAGCTGACAGCTGACCTATATCGTCTTACTTTACTAGTAAATTAACTTCGTCTTGCAGTAAGTCTCAGTTGGGGAAAAATGATGATAGTCATGCTACTGACGCTACACCACCCAAACAAGCAAAATTACAAGCTTCGCCGACCGCCGTCTTAGTCTCGCAGTGAGTCCCAGTCGGAAAAAAATGTTTGAAACATCTTTTTTTTATTATTATTATAGGACGACGAGTTATGTATGTTCACAATATAATTTAGCTATATCATACCACAAATTATTCTAATCTTCAGACTTGGCAACTGAAAATTTTGTTTGGCTAGTGGTTTTGAAAATTTACTTATGTTTGCACAAGTAAGTTCAAAATGCTGTGTAGAGCCTTGACTACTAGTAGTAGCTACTAGGCCTACTAGTAGTAGCTACTAGGCCTACTAACTTAACTACCGGTGCTGTCTGAACCGCGGTAAATTATAAACGGATTTCGTTAATTGTGAACAAACTACTGAATAATTGTTACTAAAAACTTGCCTATGTGTTTGAAATCACCTCCGGTTGAATAAAATCCATTGCACGATTTAATATCCCAACGAAAAAAAAAGTTCTCTCTTGAACAGTCAATGTTTTTGCTTGTATTTTCGACTAAGTTCATCATAACATTGTACATGTGACATGATGAGCTTAACCATCTTAATATGTTGAAGGTGTGCTGCAGTCACAACAACGCGCGACCTTTCCGATTGGTTGAGTTTGGGCAACAAAAATGGCAACTGAAGACAATAAAATTAATTTGGAAACAATCGATTGTCAGTCTACTAAATATTTATTCACAGTGAATATATCACCTATTACACAAATACACGTAAATATTGCTTTTCACATCATCATCACCTCATAATTGTAAATATCCTGTGTTAGTGTGTATTATATATATTTTAATAAATTATATTATATGCAACTCTAGCTGTGGCTAACATTTATAAATAAACATACTTTATTTCATGATTTTGATTGATAATATTTCATAACGCGCGGGGTCTAATCTCAATACTCTGTTGTATTAGTCCATTTTCAAAGTTTTATGATTACCACAAAAACTATGAAAAAAAAGGCCACTGCTTCTCAATAATTTCCTTATTCAATTCACGTTCCGACTGTTCACGTCCAAAATATTCCTGATTAAATTACTTTTTTTGGGGGGGTTTCTTCGACAGATACTGAAATCGAAACATTGTTGATAAGAACAGTTCGGGATGTCCAAACATCGTTTATCGTCTTAATAAAAATGTATTTAAAACAAAAAATCACTTGTCAAAAGAGGTATCGCAGATTGCATGTATTATTGAGTCTTGTGTGTTAATTATGCAGACCGTGGGAAAAACTTGTGCAAGTTTCGCGCTAAATTTAACCATTTTGACTGCATTTGTGTGGTATACAGTAACTCATATGGTATGGTACCTTTTACGGTAATAGAATTCAAGGCGTTGATTGGCTGAGGCATGATCGCGATCTACGAAATGCCATCCGAAAATTCCATTCTCTGTGGATTTCAAAATGGAGTTGTACTTGTGATTAATATAGGCCTATAGTTAATAACTGAGAGAACAATCGTATGGATATATTGCCCTGTGAATTTCAAAATGAAGCCGGGATTTTCGGAAATTGTGTTACCGATACATTTTTTGCACAACGGAAATAATATTCGAAGAGAAATAGAAAGACATGGAACTATATCTGTCGATAATTAAACTGAAGCGCGCTAGGATTTGTTGTTGATAATAAATTTGAATATTTATATGAAAAAGAAATAATAACGTTATATACCTATTCAATAATTCAATGGCCTCGGCTATTAATTTTGCCGAGGCAAATGTAAAATACATCCGCATTTACTGATTTACCTCGGCTACAGCCGATTGCCGAGGTTAATTGACAGGACTGCTTAAGTTCATCAGGAAATGTTAAAAGAATGTTGTTCTTTTTGTTCAGCACCTGTGTTCAAAAGAAATATTCCCACCCAACTCTCTAACCAAATAATTAATACAAGACGGAAACAAAATAACGGACTGCGGGAGTATTTATGTTTGTAAACGCCCAAACTCGTTACTGGTCCGAGAGCAATAGCTTATTCATGCACAAAATTTGAATTGTTGTAAAAGAGCCAAACATTGTTACGATAGACAAGCCTTGCTGAGACCCCCTTATGCGAAATGATCTGTCCCGATAAGTGACGTAATTAGCTTTAATTTTTTGATTTCTCGGTGTCAAAGTTTGTGAGGAGTTCAATTTTACAAGAGAGAACTTTTTTTTAATCGCTGGGATATTTAGTTGTACAATGGATTTTATTTAACGGGAGGTAATTTTAAACACACAGGTATGTTTTATTTTAACCAAAGTCAAGTAGTTTGTTCATAATCGAAGAAATCCGTTTAAAATTTACGATGGTTCAGACAGTAGTCAGATTTGACATATTGAAGCTCACCATCCACTATTTCCCAGGGCAACAAAAGTCATTTTTGGGCGAATGGTTTTCCTTTCTACCTCCCCAACCAAGATTCAACGAGAAATTCTTGTAATCTTGATAAAACAATAACTCCAAATGATTTTCTTCACAAAATTGTAGAAATGATCAATCTGGGGTTGGGCACTAGTATGGATTGAAGTTCAAATAGCGAGTTTCAGGGTTGTGCAAATTTATTATCAATGCTAGGGTGACCCATGTGCTGAAAAATTTTTCTACTAAAAGTGGTACTCGTAACGGTAAATGTGCACACTTCAGTGGCTTGTCTCAAGTGATTTCTGGCTAGTCTCGCGCTCTGAGTCTATAAATAGCCATCGCACGTGAAGTTATCAACACATCTATGAACAATTAGCCGTAATCTATAGGAGCTTTTACGGGTTTCCCTCTTGACTTCATTTTCGGGCATGCGCAGACCCTGGCCTTATTTCCATTGTGTGTTTTTACGTGAAAATACTGTCTCGTACAGTAACCTTGTTTAACATAAAATGAAACCGATCGCCATTTCTACATAAGTGTAAGGTTTACCGACTGATGTCAGAAACCGATATTGACAAAAACTTTGCTGTAGAAAAGATGAGACAAGTTTACCACACCCGTAATGGCCGTATGTAATTGAGGAACACACGTGGATCTGTGCTCATGGCCCGAACTAGAATTTGGTCAAGTTTATTACACATTTTACGACCAAACATGTTATCTATTAATTACAGGGCTATTAACACAAAAGATTTAAATGGTCTATCC